GAGAGAGAGAGAGAGAGAGAGAGAGAGAGAGAGAGAGACATGAAACAAAAAAAAAAACGCCATCAGCGAGTGTTGCTGTGCGCCACGGCGTTGCCGTGGCGGGGTCCACTTGTATATATAATAATTATTATTTTATTTTTTTGCACGCCCGAATGCCCGGCCAGGCATGAAAACTTCCTAGCTGGATACCATAATGTTTGGGGTTCACCCCCTTTAAAAAAATATAGTTCATGTGTCACACAACCTAAAATTCTCGTAGGTAGATCACCCGGTTTCCGGTCAAATTGATACAACTTGGTACACTCAGCTGAAGCCATCATTGTTTCTGTTACAATCACTACAATACAATGACATGGCTTTTGCATCCATGTGTCCAGAGGACTGTCCCTCCTTTCCTGACTCCTGGCACCCTCCAAATCGGACACTATATGTCCATTTTGTGGCCATGGGCGTTGTACTGAATGCATGTTATTTTCTGGTGTCCGTTCTTCCGTCATGTCAGCCTGCAATCAACATGTCACTTGTTGGGAGTGTTCGGAGGGCATGCTCAATGCCAGCCGTCATGACAATTGTTTTACGGAGAATGGTCAGCTAGGTCTGCCATGTCCTGATCCATCCCATCCTTCCAATGTATGTCCTCTCTGTCATCAAGGACAGGCTGATTCTTTTTTTTTTGTTTTTTGTTTGTTTGTTTCCCAGTATCGCTCCAATTTTTATGGATGTCCCAAAGGGCAAGGACAGACTGATTCTTAAACCTTCTCTTATCCTTTCCTCAGTTTCTTATGCTTTCATCTTCCTTCCAGACTCCTTACTTTCCTTTAGTTTCCCTTTGTTTTCCTTTCCTTTGTCTTGTTTCCATCTTTTCTCTCTGTTTATCTCCTCTACCTTTACTCTGCCTCTTTTTCACAGTGTACAAGTGGGCTGTTATGGTACATGGGTATGCGAGCAGCTCGCGCTCAACTTCATCAACGTGGTGAGCCTTGTACATGAGAGGTACAGTAAAGGGGGGGCTATAAGAAGACATTGTCAAAAGAACGGTTTCAGTGTGCTCTTCATGTTCGTCTTCTGTGTTTTTATTGTGTGTTTCGCAGACTGTGCTCTTTTAGTTGATAGGTATGTGACAATACATGGTAGGTATGTCCTGTACTTGTTAGTCTTGACAGTCAGTACCATACAGGCCAGGTTACAGGTCATACCTTGCATTGTGAAAGGTCGTGCTTTCATCTGGCAGTAAACAGTGCAGGATGCATGTGGGTGCTGTAGGCGAATGTTGGAGTGCGGGACCCAGTTTTACAGCTGCATGTGGTGATGCTGCTGCAATGGCAACTTTCATCATTGTGTATCCACCGTGTTGCTCAGCTTCCATTTGTGTATTGTCTTCAGTCACTTGATTGTAACTCGTTTTTCATGACCAGCTTTTTGTTGTGGTTTTGTGCTCACCAAATCTTGTGCAGGATCCGTGCAGACTGGGGGTTCAGGGAGCTGTCGCAACATGCCAGAAAGCTGGTGTGAAGGTCTGTAATTCAGCAGAGGTTTTGCTTGCTGACGAGGGGTCAGTGATTCAGCAGAGTTTTTTTTTCTTTCTCTTTCTTTGTGTGTGTGGGTGTGTGTTGTCATGTTGGCTATGCACAACTCCACAGAAAAGCATGACTGTGTGAGACTGTTTTGAAACGATTTTCACCTTTGCAGTAACAGATGCAGACCCCAGGGCTCGATCCCTAGACCTTACCTCACCCATGTACAGTACTAGGTAGACCCGTGTGTGTTTTGAACCCGTGACCTGTGTTTTGGTAGCCGACTGTTGTCTATCATAGGTCTGTGTAGTTGTCGGGTCTTGAACTGTAGGTCTGTCGAGTAGAGGTCATGGCTGTGTAGGGGTCGTAGTTTTTGCAACTCAGAAAGGTCAAGGTTGTAGCTGCTACAGTCCTGAATGGTCAAGGTCGTAGCTGCTACAGTCCCAAAAGGCCAAGTCCACAGACTTCCGGAAGGTCCGGAACTGGCCTTTCGAGTGTTGCTCACGTTAGACCAGAGGCAAGTGGGCAAGTGGGTAGTCCAACTTTGCTTACTCAGCAGTACCCAGTCCCAGTCTCACTTTGTCCAGTCAGCAAATACCATGTGGGACTTTGTGCACCATGGGCCCAGTGGAAAGGCGCAGACCAGCGACCAACAGAAGTATAAATCAAGAGGCAGCGTCCAGCCATTCATTCATTCTGCGTGAGCCATGCGGAAGCACTGCCCAGGCGTCTTGTGCGAGGTGGTCTGCAGATGCCCGAAGTTGAAGTGGGCTACGAGGGAGATAGAGCAGCCATTGCTGCTAGAGTCAGTGTTAGACGACGGCCATAGCCGCCATAGCCTAGAGTTAGTTTCCAGTGTGTGTGTGTGTGTGTGTGGGTACGGTACAGAGTGAGAGTGCGTGGGATATCCAGGGAGACCCAGTGTGGTGTGCGTGTGAACAGTTGTTGTGAATACAGTGTCGGAAGTGAGATGTGTAGGCGCTCAGGCGCCATAGCCAAAGCGAGTTTGTATCCGAACTGTGTTCTCGGCTTGAATATCTCTGAGCTTGGTGTGGGCGCCTAGCGCCAGTGTGGTTGGCCATCCGTTAGCATGCATGCTGAACGAAGAAGAAGGCGAGACTGATTGAATTGGTATCTGACCAGGTTTCCGCTGTTCCACGCACCATCGCCATTGTCAACAGGAAAGAGGTGCACGCCAGTTGGGCGCCATAGCAGCAGCTGCGCTGTTGAAGAAGCAGGGTCCGCCATAGCTGCGCCGCTGGAGGGAGACACCGCACACCTCCAAAGACAACGACGAGAGAGAGAGAGAGAGAGAGAGAGAGAGAGAGAGAGAGAGAGAGAGAGAGAGAGAGAGAGAGAGAGANCAGTTGGGCGCCATAGCAGCAGCTGCGCTGTTGAAGAAGAGAGAGAGAGAGTAGCTGGAGCGCTAGAGGGAGACACAGAACGCCTCCGAAGACAACGACGAGAGAGAGAGAGAGAGAGAGAGAGAGAGAGAGAGAGAGAGAGAGAGAGAGAGAGAGAGAGAGAGAGAGACGAAGAGGAAAGAGAAGCCATAGCCGAAGAAGAGAAGGAGAGACTAAGAGGAGAGAGAAGCCATAGCTGGGGGTGAAGGAAGAAAAAAGTAAGAAAGAAGGAAGGAGGGAGGAGGAGGAAATCGAAGGTTGGTGGAGAGAAAGGGGTCGGCAGCCATAGCCAAGTTGAGCGTTGACCAAGGTGTTGACCGGAGAGTTGACCAGGGTTGAGTTGACAAGGGTTGACCGAGGTGTTGACAAGGGAGCTGACCGAGGTTGACCGAAGTGTTGACTAGGGGGTTGACCGGCATTGACCAAGGCGTTGACCGGGAAGTTGACCAGTGTTGACCAGCGTTGACCGGAGCTGTTGACCACGAAATTGACCAAGCTGGAGTTTGTATACTCTCGCCAAGCCTTCGGCCTATCCCCTCGCCCTATGGATGTGCGCTCACCCCATGGTATTTGTTGAGTCTGTATGTCTCTTCTTTCTGCATTGAGTCTCTTCTCTCCAGGTGATAGGAACTCCGTGTATGAGGTCGTAGAGCTGTGTTGACCAAACTCACACAGGCTGAGTAGGGCTTAAGTTCATGTCTGACGACTGACTGTCCCGGAGGACAAACCCTCCCAAGGACTGGTACAGACCGGCGGGCTGCTCAGTGTGGCATGGTAGGCGCAAAATCCGAGCTCTGGGCTGGACAACCAGTTGTCTAAGAGGACTTGCTGATCGCATCGTCCTGTTTGTGACGTTAAAGAATTCCTAAGGAGTTATGGGGGATCTCCTTAAATGGCTCCTCATCAGCATTGAAGTCCTGTAGTGACAGCCATAGCTATAGGTCAGGCTAGAGACCCTAGTTGACAAGGTTCTGAACCGGAGTGAAAGCCAGGTGGGTTGACCGCAGGTGCAGGGCATCTGGGTTGAGGTTTGTAAAGGACAGTGGTGGCGAAAGCTTTCGTCGGCTGTGGTAACCTGGCTGGAGCAAAAGGGAGGACTCTGTGGTCCTTAGAGAGTCGGTTAGTTAGTTAGTCGGTGGGTGGAGGTCTAAGTGGTGAGGAGTGGAACTGTCACTCGGTTGTGCATCTTTCACCATGGTGGACACGCGTACCAGTAAGAATACCATCCCGTACACCAAAGCTCGGGAAGAGCAAGCCGCCGCCGTATTAAAAGAGAGAAAAGAGAAGGAGACCAAGAAAGAGTTGATCAAGCAGGCTAAGAAGTTGGCCTCACTGGAGAAGCAGGTGACGAAGAAAAAGAAAGTTGCAAGAGGAGATGGAGAAGTTGCAAAGAGAAGAAGAAGAAAAGTTAGAGGCGGTAGAAGAAGAGGAAGTGGAAGTGGAGGAGGAAGTCCCCTTGGAGAGAAAGAGTAGAAAAGAAACTGGGGAGTCAAGCGGCACGAAGATGGAGGATCAATGGATGGAGAAAAAGATTTCAGAGTGGGTCGCGAATCTGTTGTTGGGAGAAACAAAAGAGTCGATGATGTACGTTCCCAGAGCAGAACATGAGGCGGTGATAAGAGTTGGACACAGAGGAGGATCCTCTACGCCGCCAAACAATCGAAGACGAAAAGTTGGAGTGGAAGCTGCACCTCACCAGAGAGAAGAAGCAGCGACTGGAGGTAGCAGGTAAGATGGAGAAGGAATTGAGGGGGATAAGTGAGCAACGAAAGGAGATGGAAAGCCAGGCAAAGTTGTTGGGGAAAATGGATGTTATGGTACGAAGATGGAAGTGAAGGAGGAAGTCCCCTTGGAGAGAAAGAGTAGAAGAGAAGCTGGGGAGTCAAGCGAGACGAAGATGGAGGATCAATGGATGGAGAAAAAGATTTCAGAGTGGGTTGCGAATCTGTTGCTGGGAGAAACAGAAGAGTCGATGATGTATGTTCCCAGAGCAGAACAAGAGGCGGTGATAAGAGTTGGACGCAGAGGAGGATCCTCTACGCCGCCAAACAATCGAAGACGAAAAGAAGTTGGAGTGGAAGTTGCACCTCACCAGAGAGAAGAAGCAACTGGAGGTAGCAGGTAAAATGGAGAAGAAATTGAGGGGGATAAGTGAGCAACGAAAGGAGATGGAAAGCCAGGCAAAGTTGTTGGGGAAAATGGATGTTATGGCTAGGAATATAGATCTCCTAGCAAAGGCCCAACAGGAACAGTACCAGTTTGTGAGGGGCCAGGATATAGCATTACAATCCATACGCCTGGGATTCAGACAATTTGCACGCGAGATGATGTTGCACGTGGGCACAGAGATGAAAGCGAGACTAGAAAATACGGAGCGATTATGCACAGGCGCCATAGAAGGCGCAAAGCTTGCCGCTCCAAAGGAGGAAGCTCACACCCGTAGAGAGCCAGTTAAGGTGAAATTTCTTGATTCCTACAGTGGGAAGAAGGAAGAGAACTTCGATAACTGGGAGGCGAACATTAATTCGTACGTCCACCTACAAAAGATCATACATGAGGAACAGGTCCTCATCGCTGTCCACGCCCTCAAAGACGAAGCGTCTAGCTTCGCCAGATCGCTTGCTCGCACTGCTCAACGTGATAATAATATGGTAGGATATTCCAAGGTCACCCCCTTCCTGAATTCTTCAGGTTGCTTCGTGAAAGATTTGCGGATGCCACTCGGGCCGTAGGGCCTCCAGCAAGCTACAAACCATCCACTCTCGCTAGTGGAAGAGTGCCAGGGCACTCGAGGGAGTAATGGACGAGTTAGTTGCTGTCCCTGGCCATGGGGTCACTGAGACCCAATTAGTTCAGTTGTTCTACCATGCCATGTCCGATGCCTTGGGCGGGCACTCATTCGAAATGAGCAAACAGCCCACCATGACCTAGGATACATTGAGTAGGGAGGTGGTGACGTTCGAAGCCTTGTCCATGCCAGCATCTGCTTTCTGGCACAAAGATTTGGACAAGGGGCAAAAATGGAATGGCCGTACCATCTCTGGCCAAGTCAGGGCCAAGGATCATTTGATCCTTACTTTAGATGAGGGTGGTATGGAGGAGGTCCCCTACAACCAGATTGAGTGGGGCCTAGAGGAGGGGGACAGTGGCAATGGTCAGGGGAGGACCTATGCTGCTGTCGCGGCTGGAGGGAGGCCGCAAGGAAGAGGAAGAGGCCAGGGCCAAGGGGGTCGGGCCTTTGGTGGTCGAGGACAGGGTGCTCAGGGGGTTGGTGGCAGAGGAAACCGCCAAGAAGGAGGTAGGGGTCAAGGTCCCCCCCAAAATCGTCCTCGCTCTAATCGATCACCTCCCAGGAGGGGTGAATGGCCCCTTGCTCTATCGCAAGGCAAACCTTGGGAAGAGCAGGGTTTGGAACATACTGTATGGCAGAAGAGAATAGACCAGGATTAGTGTATTTACTGTGGTGATCCGGGCCCCAAATAGAGCAGCCCGACAAGCAAAATGCAACTGCCGGTAGGGGTCGCAACTGCCCATACCCCTAGACCATGCAGAGAAGAGTCCGCGCACCACAGAGAAACTCCCAAACCACATGTGTTT